CTGAGCCTGGGCTCGCTCGTGTTCGGCTCGTTTATACCCCTAGTCGAGGTGCTCGACGGTGTAATTTCTCAAAGCTAATAAAATCTCTGCAGCGCATTTCCGTAGACGTAGTCAATTTGCCGAATCACGTAAATCTGTGTGTTTTCATTGTGTTCCTATTTTGTGAATTTTTCTTGATTAGATTTTCATTTTATTGTCGTCATTTTTTCATAACACTAAATATATATATATACCGAAATTGCAAATTGGGGACTAAAGAAGATGAATTATATTAATTATATTATTCCCTTAAAAGATCCTGCGAGAGGAGCTCATTTGTAGAGTCTAATTTTGAACTCATTGTGCTGAAGAGAAAGTGCAATAGCATGGCGAGAGAATCCGCTAGTTGTGTTGAGAAATTTAGGGCGAAGAAAAATAAAAATCGACACAAATTCAGAAGAACACAGAGATTTAACGAGGTTCGGCAAATATGCCTACGTCCTTGGGAGCAGAGCGGCGAATTCACTATTTTAGAGGAGTCCAGTAACATACCCATAGTGTTACACATCATATATATAGATAAATCCCACAAATAAAATTAATAACACGCCCTCTCTCTCCTCAACCAACTAAATTCCAAGAGTCTCTTCAATTCCAACAGACACTAATCTTTATTCCAGGAGACATGCCTCTTCATTTCTAAGAGACTCCAAATTCTGATATAAAAATCATACCTAACAAGTTGATCCATAAACAATACATAAACCACAAAAAGAATGTCATTCTAGACTTATTCTTCAAATAAAATCATCCAGGTGTAAAAGATATACAGGATATGCACAAAGATGAAGGACACACACAGAGATGAATGCCAAGTTTGGAAGTTACACAGCATACTAAACAAAGCTCTGTTGCAATGCTGACAACAAAATGATATTTAGCTTCAATGGAGGAGCAAACTATAGAATTTTCTTTCTTGGCATTCCATGATATTGGATTTCAACGAAGATATATAATGCAGGCACTTGTAGAAGTGTAGCGAGTCTATTTAGATTTCCAATCAACATCAAAGTGCATAGAGTTGAAGTGGTGATTCATACTGACGAAAAAGGATACAATCACTAGTTCCATGTAGAAAACAGGGGAGTTGTTTAGTTGCATTCTATTGATTATTGATAATTTTGTGCATAAATTGAGATAGTTAATTAACAGTTAAGTACTTGAGACCCTCCACTACAAAGCTAAACTTACGAGAAAGTGATGGAGAGATCATGAAAGTTACGGGAAAGGCTATGACTATCTCAGTGAGAGTTAGAAGATTGAGAATGTACAAGCCATGAGATGAAAAAGCTCATTCAAACAAGATACAACTTCCACATAAAGAAGGCAAGAAAATAATAGAGTGTGTCCAAGGTCTTTATTGGAAAGATATTTGGCAAGAAGAGTGACAAATTATTATCAATCGGCATAGGATTCACCTCTAATAATGATATCATAAACATAAATGATAAGTTAGTCGAGACATGAGTGTATGATTGGTCTTGAGGACACATAAATATTTACAAGAGAGTTGATGAAACAAAAAACAACTAGAAAGTATCATAGCTAATGTTACTAGGCATTGGGTGCTAGGTTTTGATATTTAGTTCATTGATTGTTTTGCTTCCTAGGTCATTAGTCATGGTGAAAATCAAAGTTCTTTAGGTTTAAAGTTTTGCATTTTTTATTTTTTTAGGTTGATGTCTTCCGTTTACTTTTGTCCTAAAGTTTGGTGTCCTGCGTTTAAATTTTTATGTCATTTGCAATTTTATGCAATTCAGTTTAAGTTGCTTAGTTTTTAGAAGTTAAATATTTCAAGTTGCTTTAGTTACCTTTAAGTTGATTCGAGTTATCTTAAAATTAATTACTTTTTATTTAAATGCTTTGAGTTATTTTAGGTTGTTTATTTTAAATATTCAAGTTATTAGATTACTTTAGGTTATTTGGTTTAAGTATTCAAGTTATTTGGTTA